TCACTTTATCTGCCTCATAGAGCTGCTGAAGCATTGAGTTAGACATAAAAGAAAAAAATCAGTCTTTTTAAAAATGTAAAAGAAAACATTATACAGCAAAAGACCTCTCAAGTAAAAAAAAAAATCAAATACAGAAACAAGAAGGTATTTAGTTTATATACCCAATACACAGGACAAAACTGATTAAACTGAGCAATACTGTAGGCCATATGGAATTTAAGGTCATCTCCACGAACATCCTTTCGTGTTCAGACCCCTGAGTGTGTATAATCCCTTTCCTAAGTGTGAACAAAACTTGTGACTTGCTTCTCACCAGCAGAATATAGTAAATGGGATAAGATACCACTCCTGTGCATTCATGTATTTTACATATAAAATATGCCAGAGTGACTTCTCATTGGCTTTGAAGACGCAAGTTGACATGGTTAGTAAGTGGTCATACAAGAGACACATACAGCAAGAAACTCCAAATGGACTCCAGGAATTGAGAGTGACTCCCGAGAAGAAACTGAATACACACCTGTATTCCCAGCATGCATAAGCTACAACAGGAGGTCTGCCATAAATTCAGAGCCAGCATGGACTACACAGCAAGTACCAGACCAGCTAGGAATACAGAGCAAGGCCTTGTCATAAAACAAAACAAGCCGAGTGTGATGGCACCCACCTTTATTCCTAGTACCTGGGAGGCCAGTCTGGTCTACAGTGTGAGTTCCAGGTCAGCCAGGGCTACAGAATGAGACCCCATCTCAAAGTGGAAAAGTAAAAAGGAAGAGGAGGTGGCGGAAGAGGAAGAAGAAGAGGAGGAGGAGACAGTGGAGGCTATGACAGCAGCAGAAAAAACAAATTCCTAGAACTGATTAACTATAAAGTGGCAGGTTACAAAATTAATCTACAAAAAATCAGTGGCCTTTCTATATATCAATAACAAGCCATCAGAGAAAGAGTATAGGGAAACCTTCCCATTCACAATAGGCTCAAAAAAAATAAAATATCATGGACTAAACCTGACCAAACACATCAAAGATCTCCCTAATGAAAATTTTAAATCTTTAAAGAGGTTGAAGACACTAAAAGATGAAGGACCTCCCATGCTCATGGATTCAAAGAATTAATATTGTGAAAATGACCATCCTACAAAAAGCAATATGTAGATTCAATGCAATCCCAATCAAAATTCCCATAACATACTTCACAGAATTAGAAAAAAAAATTCTAAAATTCATGTGGAAGCACAAAAGATAGCCAAAGCAATCTTGAACACAAAGAGTGAGGCGGGGGGGGGGGATTATTATACCAGATCTCAAACTATATTACAGATACTGGCACAAAAATAACACATAGACACATATCAATTGAACATCATTGAAGACCCAAACATGAGTACACACAATTTCAGCCACCTGATATTGACAAAGGTGACAGAAACACACAATGAAGGAAACGCAGCATCTTCAACAAATGGTGCTGGCAAAAGTGATCTCCACCTGTAGAAGAATGAAACTAGATCCTTGTATTTCACCTTGCACAAAAGTCAACTCCAAATGGATCAAAGACCTCAAAGTGGAAACCCTGAAACTAATAGAAGAAAACATCGGAAGTAACCTACAAGATAGAGGTGTAAAAAAAGATTTTCTAAATCGGACATCAGTTGTTCAGGAATTAGGATGAATAAGTAACAAGTGGGACCTCACTAAACAAAAAAGCTTCTGTACATCTGTACAGCAAAAGAAACAATCAAGGAAGTGAAGAGAAAACCCACAGAGTGGGAGAAAATCTTCACCAGTGACACGTTTGACAAAGGTTTAACATTCAAAATATATAAAGAACTCAAAAACCAAAGAATCAAGAAAACAAATGACCCAATTAAAAGATGAGCTAAAGATCTGAACAGAGTTCTCAAAAGAAGAAATAAAGATGGCTAAGAAACATCTGTGGGGAGCCGCCTGCCGTCCCTGCAGACGCCATTACAAGATGGCGCTCACATCCGGTTCATGCTGAGCAGTAAATAAGTCAGTACGCATGCCCGAAGTAATTTTCCACCTTCTAGTCTCTGCCTACCTCGTGGCGTGATATGGGCTGATGAGTTTGCGACCAATCAAGAGTTGCCACGTCCAAGACGGGCTTACTAACCTATATAAGGGCTGGGTTTCCGACATTTGGGGTCTTCGCCCTGTAAGCTTATGCTCTCCCTCTCAAGATGCATTAAAGCTTTTCTGCAGAAGGATCCTGAGTGTGCCGCGTCGTTCTTGCTGGCGAGACGATAACGCGGGACAAACATCTTTAAAAGTGTTCAACAAGTCGACCTAATTTATTCCTGTGGCTGCCACCGGTGCCCTTTGGAAATCTGATCACAGCCTCTACTTTATTTTTTTAAACCAGGTCAACTTGTACTTCTATCTTGTATCTAGTGACCTCAGACCTGGTTATGTGAGGACTAGATTCTAGCTGGCCTCTGCCCTTCAGGCAGCTATGAGACTCATCAGCTAAACCTGCAGCTTTTTGATGTTGGCTCTAATTGATTCTCATAATGGGAAGCTAGGACACCTCTGTAGGAGGTGGATTTTAAAGTATTCTGCTAGAAGCAAAAGGTTTCTTGAAGGTTGTGCTGGATAGCTTTAGTGTCAACTTGACACACCTGGGTTTAGGGAGCCTCAACTGGAGAATTGCCTTCTTAGGACTGGCCTGTGGCCATGTCTGTGAGGCATCTTCTTGATTGCTGTATGATGTGGGAGGGCTCAGTGCATTGGGGGTTGTGCCACCCCTGAGATGGGGGGCTGTGTTGAATAAGAAAGCAGGCTGAACAGGGGCCAGGAGAGCAAGTCAGTAAGCAGCATTCCTCCATGGCCTGTGTTCCAGCTCCAGCCTCCAGGTTCCTGCCCTGAGTTCCTACCTTGGGCTCCCGGATGAACTGTGACCCAGGATATGTAAGCTAAATAAACCCTTTCCTCCCCAAGTTGGCAGTGGTCAGAGTATTTTGTCACAGCAATGAAGAAACAAACCAGAACAAAGGTTTACCTTAAAATTTTGGGCAAACTTTATAGGGTATTTATTTTTCCTTTTAAATGGATCTTTCAACTAGGAATAATTTTTGATTTACAGAAGTTTCAGTGCACGACATGGGTGCACTTACATGCAGGCAATACATTCATACACGTAAGATAAAAACAGTTTTTGGGTTTTTTTGGTCTTTTCGAGACAGGGTCTCCCTGTAGTCCCAGCTGGCCTGGAGCTAGTTGTGTGGACCAGGCTGGCCTCAAACTCAGAGAGCCACCTGCCTCTGCCTCCTGAGTGCTGTGAGGCAAATGCCACCAAGCCCAGCAGATCACTATTATCTTAATATCAGCCATTGCTTTTCACTTCCA